GTGAAGGATGAAAATCTTATATTCGGACACCTGCTTCCTGAGCAGATGACAATTTAATGTTAGTTAACACAGAGCTTTTATACCATTCATAAAGGGGCAATACAAAGAAAATTCCTTCACATACATATGCTTTAAAAGTTACCACCATCTAGCGGTCTAGAAGCGACAAACAAGCCAAGAACACTATCTACTTTTAGCTAATGAGTCTTTATCATAAAGCCAAAAATGATAGTTTTAGTTCAAAGTCCCAAATTACAGTCCTTGAAATGTCTCAAGAAAGTTTCCAGGTGCAAAGTTCTTCATGTAGCAGTTCTTCTCTTTTGGGCTTTTACGACCTTCAAAGTTTTGTAATCGCCTTTCTTGCCCAGGTGTCTTTGTTACTTTTATCTTATCCTGCAATGTTTATTTCTAAAGAAAACTCAAAAGAAGCTTTTAGTAATGTTTCCCAGTCCCCCAAGGTTGCTTTCTGTCTTTAGATAAGTTATCATAAAAGTGTCGGATTAGTATATTATGAATTCAGTGAAAACCCACTCTATAAACGTTTACTTAAAATTTAACTAAAGAATTAAGTAAAAACCTTCACGATTAATCTATATCCTAAGTCTGTGAAGACAGTGTTATAAATCACCTACATAACTCCTAGATAAGTGTTAGAACTTATAATGAGCTCATAATGAACTTACCATAAACTTGTACTTCTAAAAAACCTTATGACTGAACACTAAGCTGCATAATTCTAAATCAAATAAGGAGTGAATATACTTATATCATTTTTTACTCAAGCAATATCTAGTAACTTATAACCAAGTGAAAGAAAGCATTCTTGATGTGCTTCAGAGTTTAACCCTTGCATATGTTAGAAAAGGCCAAGCGGCATAGTGGGAAAATGGGAAAATGAACCATGACATTCTCAGGTTAGGTGTGAGTACTTCGCATAAACATGCCATTTTCTTCTTCCACGACTGCACAGAATTTCTTCAGCCACATCAAACAGCAAAGGTGGAAGACAGAAGGGGCTCAGCTTCCCGGGCTCACCCTGCGGCCCAGGGTCTTTGGCCCATCGGGACCCCGTCAATCATGTGGACCTCCAAGGCTGGCTCCCAACAGGACATAGAAGACAAAAATACCAAAGAAAAAAAAAATCAATGAAACTAAAAGCTGGATCTTTGAAGGGATAAACAAGATTGACAGACCCCTAGCCGGACCAAGAAAAAGAGATAAAAAGCCCAAATTAACACAATCAGAAATGCAAAAGATCAAATCATAACAGATCCCAAAGAAATACAAAAGATTATCAAAGACTATTATCCACACCTGTATGGAAACAAACCTGAAAATCTAAATGAAATGGAGAACTTTCTATATCACACAACCTCCCAAGGTTGAAACAAGAAAAAATTCAGACATTAAATAGATCAATTACAACCCTGGAAATTGACTCTCCATCATAAGAAAATTACCTCCAAAAAAAAGTCCTGGACCAGACAACTTCCCAGTAGAGTTCTACAAAACATACAAGGAAGAGCTAATGCCAATCCTATTGAAAGTACTCCAGGCACTCAAGAAAGATGGAACTCTCCCCAAATCATTTTATGAAGCTAATATCACACTGGGTAAAGATCCAATAAGGAAAGAAAACTACAGGCCAGTATTCCTGATGAATATAGTTGCAAAAATACCCAAAAAGATTCTAGCAAATCAGATCCAACAAACATCTCAAAAATTACCCACCACGACCAAACAGACTTCATCCCTGGGATGCAGGGTTGGCTCACATCCACAAGACTATAAATGTAATTAAGTATATCAATAGATAAAAAATAGGAATCACATGATTATAACATTATATGCAGAAAAGTTTTCAGTAAAAGCCAGCATTCCTTCTTGATAAGAACCTTTGAACACCTAGCCATAGAGAGAACATATCTCAAAGTAGTAAATCCCACAGCTGACATACTGCTAAATGGACAGAAATTAAAAGAATTTCCCCTGAAAACTAGAACAAGACAAGGCTGCCCACTTTCTCCCCTCCTTTTAAACATAGTGTTGGAAGTCCTAGCTACAGCAATCAGACAAGAGAAGGAAATCGGGGTATCCAAATAGGAAAAAAAAGACAAGCTATCCCTTTTTTCTAATGATATGATTCTATATCTCAAAATCCAAGAGAATCTGTCAAAATCCTTCTTGCACTGATAAAGGATTTGGTAAAGTCTAGGCTACAAAATCAGTGTGCAAAAGACAGTCACATTCTTATACAACAAACAACAAACAGAGAACCAAATAAAAGTGCGATCATATTCACAATAGCAACAACAACAAAAGATTTACCTCAGCATCTTCCTAACCAGAGAAGTGATGACTTTCACAATGAAAACTACAAAACACTGCTCAAAGAAATCAAAGATGACACAAACAAATGGGAAAATATTCCAAGCTCATGAGTTGGAATAATCAAAATTATTAAAATGTCCAACCTACACAAGGCAATATACAGATATAACACATTACCCATTAAATGATCAACATCGTTCTTCTTATACCTAGAAATGACAATACAGAAATTTATGAAAGCATAAATGACCATGAATAGTCAAAACAATTCTCAGCAAAAGAAACACAGGGGGAGGTGTCACACTTCCAGACTTTAAAGTTTATTATAAGGCTATACAGTAATCAAAATAGTCAGGTATTGATACAAGAACAGGTGTATATATACCAATGGAACAGGATAGAGATTCTAGAAGCAAAACCTCAATTCTCAACCAACTCATCTTCAACAAAGCCTCCACTGAAAACCACTGGGGAGAGAACTTATTGAGTACATGGTGCTGGGAAAATTGGCTGACTACATGCAGAATATTGGAAGAGGTCCCCTACCTATCACCATACACAAAAATCAACTCTAAATGGATCAAAGACCTAAACATAAAACTTCAAATGATAAAAGCCTTAAAAAATGCAGGAGATACCCTTATGGAAATTGGAACTGGCAACCAATTCCCTATCAAAACCCCAAATGTTCTTGCCATAAGACATAAAGATAGACAAGTAGGACCTCATCAAACTGAAATGCTTCTGCAAAGCAAAAAGGAACCAAGGCAAAAAGACAGCCTATACAATGGGAAAAAATATTTGCCAAATGTATATCTGGCAAAAGCCTAATTTCTGGGATCTACAAGGAGCTCAAGTGTGCCAAAAAGAAGAAAAAAAAATCCAGCCCTATTAAAACATGGGCAAAATACATGAATAGACACTTCTCAAAAGAAGTCATATGGGCAGACAACAGATACATGAAAAATGCTCAGTCTCACTAATCATCAGTGAAATACAAATCAAAATCACATTGAGATACCACTTACCCCAGTTTAAATGGCCATCATTAATAAAACAAAAAACAATAGAGACTGATGAGGATGCAGATAAAAGGGAATACTTCTACACTGCAGGTGGGAATACAAACTCATTCCACCTCTGAGGAATACACAGTGGTGATTTCTAAAAGAACTAGAAATCGACCTTCCAGATGATCCAGTAATCCCCCTTCTGGAAATATACCTAGAGAAACTCAAATCACTCCACAAAAAAGATACCTGCACAAGCATGTTTATTGCAGCACTATTCACAAGAGCAAAAACATGGAACCAACCGCGCTGTCCCTCAAAACTTGACTGGATAAAAAATGTGGTACATATACACAATGGAATATTATGCAGCTATAAAAAAGGACAAAATTACGAACTTTGCAGCTACTTGGGTGGATTAGAGTCTTTCATACTCAGTGATCTATCACTGAAACAAAGAATTGAGTACCACATGTTCTCACTCAATAGCAAATTCTGTCACAAAGGGATAATAATACTATCAAAAAGGGATTGGCAGTAGTGGGAAACTGTCAGGGTTGTGGGGGGCACATTTCATCAATAAGGGTACCTGGTCTCAAACCAGGTGAAGTGGGGACAAAAGTGAGGCTAAACTTTACCTGTACAATGATCATTTGTACATCTTATCCTGAATTGTATCCCACATCCTTAAAATAGAATTTTAAAAAGGCAAAGAACAAGTTATATTAATCTAGATAAACATAAAATTATTAGCTGGGCTCGATGGCTCAGCCTGTAATCCCGTGCCTTTGGAAGGCTGAAGTGAGTAGATTGCCTGAGCCCGCGGGTTCGAGACCCGCCTGGGCAGGCGATACCTCATCTCTACAATAAATCAAAAAATTAGCCGGGTGTGGTAGCGCACACCTGTAGTTCCAGCTACTCGAAAGGCTGAGGCGGAAGGATCGCCAGAGCCCAGCAGGTCGAGGCTGCGGTGGCCGGGAGTGGCCACTGCACTCAATTCTGGGCAACAGAGTGAGACTCCAACTCAAAAAAAAGAAAAAAAAGAGATAAAATTATAAACAGAGTAGTCACCCCTGTATGTACAGGCTTGGTTTAGTGGCACATTAAAGTGATTTATTTTGATTGTCATCTTCTCCAGGCTCTAAAGATGAGGTCTTGGTTAACTTGATTTTGGTGCCAGAGACCAACATTGACATTAACTATTTTTTGATGAGCTTGCGGGCACATTTATTTGATTACAGGGAGGTGATAATTACAGGTCTGGATCAGTAGTTGTGGGTGAATTGTACTTATTGGCTCAACTTTTATTCATTTATATTCAGTTATTGAAGCTAAAAGTCAAAAGCAGGGAATGATGACAGCATTCGCATCACTGCTATATTTAAAATTATTATTTAAATTCACTTTATTGCTGTTGCTATAGTGCATAATTAACTCATGCCAATCTGAGCTGATGTGCAATAAAGTGAATTTAAATAATAATTTTAAATATAGCAGTGATGCGAATGCTCTCATCATTCCCTGCTTTTGACTTTTAGCTTCAATAACTGAATATAAACGAATAAAAGTTGAGCCAATAAGTACAATTCACCCACAACTACTGATCCAGACCTGTGATTATCACCTCCCTGTAATCAAATCAATGTGCCCGCGAGCTCATCAAATGCGCAACACCTTTGAAGTGTAGAATATGTCTTCTCTCTTCACAAAGCCATCTGCCATCTTGCTTCGGATGGCCAGACCAACCTGCTCTTCATTATCATAGACATAAGCAGAATCAATGTGGCGGAATCCAGTTTCTATTGCCAATTTGGTGATCTCCACAACTCTACTTCTTGGAACCTAGAGGAGCAACCAAAGGTAATGTTTGGTGATTGATGCTACTGAGAAGAAGTTCAAGCACAAGCACTGACCTGCAAAAAATCAGCTATTCCTCGTGTTTTGGATTATTTCTGTATGTAGGGATGATGAACCCATCCCGGTATGCCCAGATCGTTCTTTATTCGAAGTGATAAAGATTGGGCTTCCCGGGAGCCCTTTCAGTAACAGGTTATCACTGCTTGATCACTGCTGTGGACGTCTCCAAGTATTCCTGTAAGTTCAGTAACTTGCTGTAAACAAAAGAAAGCAAAAAAAAAAAAACCCACAAAAAACCAAAAAAACTTACAGAGCTCGGCATAGGGGCTCACACCTGCAATCCCAGCACTTTGGGAGGCTGAGGTGAGAGGATTGCCTAAGCCCAGGGATTCAAGACCAGCCTGGGCAACATGGCAAGACCTCATCTCTATAATAAATTAAAAAATTAGCCAGACGTGGTGGCGCATATCTGTAGTCCCAGTTACTTGGGAGGCTGAGGTGGAAGGATTTTCTGAGCCCAGTAGGTTGAGGCTGCAGTAGCCATAATCATGCCACTGCACTCCAGCCTGGGTGACAGAGTGAGACTCCAACTCAAAAAAAGAAAAGTATTCAACATATAGCTATAGATTACAGTCTTGATTGTCAATATAGTAAATATTTTGATTTTAATTTTTTAATTTTAAAGTGTGGGGTACAATTCAGGATCAGGTATACAAGCGGTCATCATACAGGCAAAGTTTGGGCCTCCCTTTGGTCCCCACTTTGCCTGGTTTGAGATCAGTACCCTTACTGATGTTGTGTCCTCTTCCCCACCCTGGCAGTATCCTGCTACTGCCAATCCTTTCTTACAGTGTTATGGCAAATGTTCAGGGTCTGCTTATGAATGAGAACATGTGCAACTCAGTTCTAAGATAGTAAATTCAACTCAGGGAAAAGGTACATGGAATGAAATAGAAAAGAAATACAGTGCAAACTCCTATGAGTCTTCTTCCGGTGATCTTATGCAGGACACACTTTTTCAGCATTGTACTTTGACAACATATAGAAAATGACAACAAGAGATGCTCTTTAGAGACTCAGCTCCTCAGATTTTGACTGGTTGCTGATTAAGCAGCCTAACACACAGAATTCCAGTCTCACCTAGGAAAGCAGTCTACATAAACCCCACTGTTTGTATAAGCATTTAATTTCAGCTCCCATCATTATCAGTTTGGAAATGGTTAAAAAAATCCCACTTTCAAAACACCAGCGATGGTCCAAATTGAACATAGGTACTTCTGTGGAGAACAGTGTATGATGTCAACTCCTTTCCATACAAGAAGTCTGTCTGCATGACAGAATTAAAAATTATACATATTCTGAGGTTTTAGATTTATTAATAAAAAAATTAACCACAGCCTGTGAAAGATTAGTAAAACAGGTGTCACTTCTAAAAATTAAAACCAGCTCTTTTGGGAAAGATACTTCAGAGAATATTGAAATTTTAACTTATCGAAAGGATCGACTGAGCCCAGAAGTTTGAGGCTGTGGTGGCCATGAGCTTGCCACTGTACTCCAGCCTAGGCAACGAAGTGAAGCATTGACAAAAAACAAAAAAAATTAACTTACCTAATAATTTGAATAAAAATTTTAAATTATACTTTTAAAGGACAAGCGCATAAACAAGAAAAACTATTTTTCAGTTTTGAAAAGTACTTTAGAAGCTTTAATTTTAACATTGATGCTATGGGAAACTTGATATTGGGTCTTACTGCCCTCTCCTGATACCAACCTTGATCAAACCTTGCTCTTTTTTGTGGTAAAGAAACTCAAAGTTGAACCAAAGCTGAAGCTTCAGGGGTGTTTTCAACCTTACTTCTCCTTCATGTCAGTACGTATGACAAAGCAAAATAGTGTTGTCTTCAAAATGTGCCTTTGAATATCTTTACCTCTTATAGATGAGAAAAGCAAGGCTCCAATTTCATGTCACTAGACCCTATTCAAACAATTAGTAGTGTGAGGACACTACTGGAATGTAAATTTTCTTTCAGTCTAGATACAGTTTAATCTAGAAAATAATCTCTCCCTTTTGCTTACGTTCATGTCAGAGGGCCATCCTTATCACTTAGATACCAATTTGTTAAATATTAACCAGAAACAAGAATTTAGACTTTCCCCTGTTAGAGTCTAATTTTCTTTTAAAAATATCTTGTGTTGCTCTGCCATTTAATTTTCCTAGAGGTGAGTGTAATGCGTGGGTGTTTCTATTTATTCCAGGTCTAACATGATGCATGGTGCTCCAGGCCAACGGTTTCTTTGTACCCAATTGCCTGTGGTTTTTACTACAAAGATTTCTCCAGGTCATGACTGCTTGGATGGAGAAAAGAAATTTTCTTAAATTAAGGAAATAAAAAGCGAAACCATTCCCATTGCAATCAGTCTTCAAGGAAGGAAGCTGACAGGCTTTGTTCTTGACTGCTGAATTTTATATATTCTGCCAAGAAGAAATATAGTCATACAGAAGAAAAAAAAAACCAGTGCCCAAAATAAACAGTAGGTGGTCCTATGACCAGACTCAATGCAGATAAAGACTACCTTTTCTGTTTATACACAAAATGACGCTACCCTAGCGAAGCTTAGAACGCATAGTCCCCCAGAGTCACACAGGAAAATGATCTGAAACCCAGGTTGACTTCTACTTACTCTAGGTTTATTCTTTCAGACTTTTTAACACTAAAAACATTACTGTTACCTGTGGAGGTGCATAGGTGCCAAATCCCAGGACAGGCATGAAGTGACCATCGTTTAGTTCCACACACTGATGTCTGGAGTCCATTGCCTTTCTCTCCTTTGGCAAAGCAGACCCTGTGACTCTCTTCTGCCCTCAGGGGTTATTCAGTAATGGAGAGGAAACACCCCAATTCCCGATGCATAAGGGTTAACCAATGGCATGTAGGAGGAGGGAGCTGATACAGCATTATACAAGGGGTGACCAGAAATGATTCCGGTTCACTTTTTTGTTAAGTAAATTGCCATATGGTTATAATAATCTCATTAATTTCTTGCTGAAGTTAAATTTTCTATTCAGAATCTCTAAATATAAAATATTCCAAGAAATTGCTAGATCAAATAGTGCCTCTGTGTTAAGCTATAAAAGATCTCTAACTACAAACCTGTTTCTTGTCTGTGTCATAGTGAGGTCCTATTTTATTATGCAGTATTTGAAATGATTGACCATCTCACATCTCTCTCTCTCTCTCTGACACGCACAGTTTTAATAAATGAATAGCAAGAATTTTTTAAAAATATTGACCCTTAATAAAAAACTAAAAGTTAAAATGGCAAGAAAATTTGTCATTTCTCCGTTTCCATCAGTAAATTTATTTTGTTTCCTTGTTGTTTGTATTGTAATAGGAATATTCATTCCTACTGAAGTTGCAGTTCCGATGAGGTGGTAATCATATGAGAGTGCACAAACAATTGTACTTGGGGATTACTGAAGTATTAATTAGTAACAATTTTTTGACTTTGATTATCTTTCACAATATAAAAACATTTCCTAATAATATTTGTATTTTTCAGCCGTTTTATAAGAAGCTATTGCAAAGTAACAAATAAAAACAACTAAGAACCATTTTATGTAATTTGTGATCTTGTTAAAAAACTATTCATTAAAAAATTGGAAACTATTTACAATATGTTGGTGTACAATTCTCATGTGAGACAATTTTACCTCTTTCTTCCTTTAGAGGGAAGATGAAGCATGATATATTATTAACATCTCAGAACAATCAGGACTTGCAGCACTGTGATTGCTTCTTTTGGTTTCTTCCTAAAAATAAAATAAAGTAAGCCAAAATAGTTAGATCAATTACTACACATTGATACAATGCAATATTGTAAAGTCTTTGACAATTTTCACATACAGCATTGTCAGCATGATGAAGAATTTAAAAGTTCCCTGTTCTCCTATGGAAATATCAAGAAGCAATCTAAAATTGACAAAAATCCACTTACCTACTTTGGAGTGGCATGTTCGTAGTGCAGGGAGATTATGGATTCACAGATGCCATGCCAAGAGATTAGAGGAAGAGACATACACAACCTTAATGCACTGAGAAGAAACAAGAGTGTTATTTTTTGAAATATTAAGATGCTCAACAGCTGTCGGGAATTTGGGGAAATCAAAACGAGCACACACAGTTCATGAAGAAGATGTTGAGAAAAGAACTGAAATGACTTAAAGATTTTATGTAGTGTTGATGCCAAGATGAAGAACATGCCAAGCGTATTTGTTGATGATTGTCATGACACAGAACAAATCTACATGGAGTAGGAAAGTGGTTGTTTTTTCTAATGTCCCCCCAACCCCAAATGGCAAAGAAGTAGAAAAACATGATCCATTACAGGAAAGATGATAGACAGGTGGAAATCATTCCTGAAAAAGCACAGGTATTTCAATTAGTAGAAAAAGATGCTTTAAAAGAGCTATTTTAAATATACTAAAGTTGCTAAAAACCAGTATGGACAAAAAATTATAGGAAATCAGGAAAACCATATATAATAAATTAGAATATCAATAGTGATATAGAAATTTTTAAAATTTAGATCTGAAAAATATAACAATTGAGAATCTCACTAGAATATTTCAACAACATATAGGAGCAGGAAAATAGGACAATTGAAATTATTGAGTCTGCAAGTAAGAAAAAAAATAAAGGAATGTGAACAAACCCTAAAAAACTTATGAGATGTATGACCAAGTCAACCAGTGTAAAAAGTTGGATTCCCAGAAGGAGAGGAGTAGAACACAGCAGTAGAGCGATTATTTGGAGAATACAATCATCAAAATCTCCCAAATATGGTAAAAGACACGAATCTACAAACCTAAGAAACTGGAAAAAAAAAACTGCATATAAGATACACTCATAGAGAGCCAGACCTACATGTGTCATTAGCAAACTCTCAAAATTCAAAGAGAAGGAGTTCATCTTGAAAAAGGCCAGAGAAACATGACCTGTTAAGTGAAAGTGATATTGGATAAGAGGAGCAACAGACTTCTTATTAGAAGTCTTGGGGGATATACGAGATAGAAAGAATTCTAAAAAGATAAATAGATGGCAAAGCATGGAAATTCATTTTTGAATAGTTGTTATATACTCTCTTCAAAATTTAAAAGACAAATGTTTACAAATAAATATAAATCTGTTTTACCATGTGTACATTGTTTGACATTGTATTTAGTGACATCAATATTGTGAGGTGAAGAGACACAGAGCTATAAAAAAGCAGACTTTTTTAAAAAAGGAATTATTATATTGGTATTGATTCCAAAGTAGATTTTTATAGCTGTAAGATGTTGTATGCTTTTCTCATGGCAACTATAAAGATTTTAAAATAATTACTTTCTTGTTTCTATTATTTTTTGTTACTTAGAAATACTAAAATATATAGGAGTTAAGGTTTTTACATCCATGTAACTTTCTATATCACTTTTGAAGTCTGTTGATTATCACTTGGGTTAAATGAGTAGCTAATATTTTCAATGACCTGTCATTGTATATTTATGACTTCAAATGTTTTGAGCCTTTTACATTTTTTGACAAACATCCTCAAAATCAAATGCTAAATTAAATCTCTGCTCTAGATTTATTGCAGGCAGTTTATCCAAACAATAAAAATTGATCATCACAAGGCTGTAGACTCACTTATCAGCTTCCAGTTAATTCATAACTCATTTCACGGCCTCCAGCTTAATGCTTAGAAATAAGTTAAGAGGCTTTCTCCATTCCCATTAAAATGTTCTTTATCTAATATTGTTAACTAACCTTTGTCCTGCACGATGACAAGGTATTGAATACTGAATATATTCATCTCACCTAAAAAGGGGTACTAATTCCTACTAAATAGTTAATGTCAATGTTGGTCTCTGGCACCAAAATCAAGTTAACCAAGACCTTGTCTTTAGAACCTGGAGAAGATGACAATCAAAATAAATCACTTTAATGTGCCACTAAACCAAGCATGTACATACAGGGGTGATTACTCTGTTAATAATTTTACCTTTATCTAGATTAATATAACTTGTTCTTTGCCTTTTTAAAATTCTATTTTAAGGATGTAGGATACAATTCCGGATAAGATGTACAAATGATCATTGTACAGGTAAAGTTTAGCCTCACTTTTGTCCCCACTTCACCTGGTTTGAGACCAGGTACCCTTATTGATGAAATGTGCCCCCCGCAACCCTGACAGTATCCCACTATTGCCAATCCCTTTTTGATAGTATTATTATCCCTTTTTGATAGTATCTGCTATTGAGTGAGAACATGTGGTACTCAGTTCTTTGTTTCGGTGATAGATCACTGAGTATGATAGACTCTAAATCCATCCAGGTAGCTGCAAAGTTCATAATTTTGTCCTTTTTTATAGCTGCATAATATTCCATTGTGTATATGTACCACATTTTTTATCCAGTCAAGTTTTGAGGGACAGCACAGTTGGTTCCATGTTTTTGCTCTTGTGAATAGTGCTGCAATAAACATGCTTGTGCAGGTATCTTTTTTGTGGAATGATTTGAGTTTCTCCAGGTATATTTCCAGAAGGGGGATTACTGGGTCATCTGGAAGGTTGATTTCTAGTTCTTTTAGAAATCACCACTGTGTTTTCCTCAGAGGTGGAATGAGTTTGTATTCCCACCTGCAGTGTAGAAGTATTCCCTTTTATCTGCATCCTCATCAGCCTCTGTCGTTTTTTGTTTTATTAATGATGGCCATTCTTACTGGGATAAGCAGTATCTCAGTGTGATTTTGAATTGCATTTCACTGATGATTAGTGAGGCTGAACATTTTTTCATGTATCTGTTGTCTGCCTGTATGACTTCTTTTGAGAAGTGTCTATTCATGTCTTTTAATGTTTTAATAGGGTTGGATTTTTTTTTCATGTCTTTTAATGTTTTAATAGGGTTGGATTTTTTTTTCTTCTTTTTGGCACACTTGAGTTCCTTGTAGATCCCAGAAATTAGGCCTTTGCCAGATATACATTTGGCAAATATTTTTTCCCATTGTGTGGGCTGTCTTTTTGCTTTGGTTCCTTTTTGCTTTGCAGAAGCATTTCAGTTTGATGAGGTCCTACTTGTCTATCTTTATGTCTTATGGCATGGGCATTTGGGGTTTTGATAGGGAATTGGTTGCCAGTTCCAATTTCCATAAGGGTATCTCCTGCATTTTTTAAGGCTTTTATCATTTGAAGTTTTATGTTTAGGTCTTTGATCCATTTAGAGTTGATTTTTGTGTATGGTGATAGGTAGGGGACCTCTTCCAATATTCTGCATGTAGTCAGCCAATTTTCCCAGCACCATGTACTCAATAAGTTCTCTCCCCAGTGGTTTTTAGTGGAGGCTTTGTTGAAGATGAGTTGGTTGAGAAATGGAGGTTTTGCTTCTGGAATCTCTATCCTGTTCCATTGGTATATACACACCTGTTCTTGTACCAATACCTGACTATTTTGATTACTGCATAGCCTTATAATAAACTTTAAAGTCTGGAAGTGTGACACCTCCCCCTGTGTTTCTTTTGCTGAGAATTGTTTTGGCTATTCATGGTCATTTATGCTTCCATAAATTTCTGTATTGTCATTTCTAGGTATAAGAAGAACGATGTTGGTCATTTAATGGGTAAGGTGTTATATCTGTAGATTGTCTTGGGTAGGATGGACATCTTAAAAATGTTGATTATTCCAATCCATGAGCTTGGAATATTTTTCCATTTGTTTGTGTCATCTTTGATTTCTTTGCGCAGTGTTTTGTAGTTTTCGTTGTAAAGGTCTTCACTTCTCTGGTTAGGAAGATGCTGAGGTAAATCT